CCCCCCAAGCCAAACCACTCTGGGATTGCAGCAGCAGCCAGGCAGGGATGTGCCAGGACAGGGATCCAAGGTCCCCCCTGCCAGCAGAGCTGAGCTGAGCTGAGCTGAGCTGAGCTGAGCCATCCCCACGGGCTGCCTGCAGAGCTCCAAACCTGGGACACTGGGATTGGGATTTCCTGGGATTTCCCATGGATTGGCACCCCCTGCCTTCAGAGCCTGAAGTCTGGGCAGAGCTGGGACCAGGTGGTGGCTGCTGCTCACAGACAATGACATCCCCACCATCCTGCCCTGGATGAAGGAAGGGGCTGGAATTCCTGCCCTGGATAAAGAACAGGGGCTGGAATTCCTGCCCTGGATGAAGGAGGGGCTGGAATTCCTGCCCTGGATAAAGAACAGGGGTTGGAATTCCTGCCCTGGATGAAGGAGGGGCTGGAATTCCTCGGGAATCCTGCAGGATCCCCCAGGGCTGCGGTTCCCTCCTCACCAACCCCTCCCTGGGCTGTACAATCAGGGCTCCTTTGCGGGGAGGTTTTTATTTATTCCTAAAAAAACTCAAGGTGCTGCCCCTGCAGTGGCCCCGGGCCGGTAGCCCTGTCCCGCCAGGCAGGTAGCCCAATCCCCTGGGCCAGTAGCCCACCCGCCCGGCAGGTAGCCCAGCCCCCCGGCCGCTAGCCCAGCCCTCCCGGCCGCTAGCCCAGCCCCCCAGGCCGCTAGCCCAGCCCCTCGGGCAGGTAGCCCAGCCCCCCAGGCCGGTAGCCCAGCCCCCCAGGCCGGTAACCCAGCCCTCCAGGCCGCTAGCCCAGCCCTCCCGGCCGGTAGCCCAGCCCCTCTGGCCGCTAGCCCAGCCCCCCCGGCCGGTAGCCCAGCCCCCCCGGCCGCTAGCCCAGCCCCCCAGGCCGCTAGCCCAGCCCTCCAGGCCGCTAGCCCAGCCCCCCAGGCCGGTAGCCCAGCCCCCCCGGCCGCTAGCCCAGCCCGTTACCGCAGCAGGCGCAGCTCGGCCAGCAGCGTGGGGTTGTGCTGAGCCTTCTCGGGCGTGGGCTGTGACGCCTGCTCGTGCTCCAGGCGCAGCCGCTGGATCTCCTGCAGGATCTCCCTGGGAAAAGAGCACAGGGACGGGCTCGGGGCCGCTGGGCGCCTCTGCAGCCACAGCCCAGGGGATTTGGGCACGGCTCCCACCGGGACAGGGGCGTGAGCGCAGCCCTGGGATCGCTGCAGGGCCCGGGAATGCATCACTGCACACACTGGGAATGCATTGCTGCACACACTGGGAATTCATCACTGCACACACTGGGACATGCATCGCTGCACACACTGGGAATGCATCGCTGCACACACTGGGACATGCATTGCTGCACACACTGGGA